TATATATATGTATATATATGTATATATATATATGTGTATATATATGTATATATATATATATGTGTATATATATGTATATATATATATGTGTATATATATGTATATATATATGTGTATATATATATGTATATATATATATATATGTGTGTGTGTGTTGTTGTTGTTTTTCTGTCCCTCTGGGTGAATTTTCTCTTAAAATGGCTCCAGTCTCAAAAAAATTATAAACCATTCATTCACAAAAACACTGTGTTACTGTATATACTTTTTACATTACCTTCAGTTTCACAACACTGTTATTCTGGCAAAATGATCATGCTATTGCTATTCCAGCTGGACATTCTACAGCTAGATGTTGCTACTGCTGGGTTTTGCAATTAATCACAGAATTGTAAATAAACAAACATACATTGTTAAACACCTGGTGATGTAAAGGGCTGAAAAATTGTGTTTGTGTGATTTTTTTTCTCCAGCTGTTCTGTGATATATAAAAAAAACAACCTTCGTTTGAACAGGTCTGAACTGTCACTGAGGTTGTTTCACAAACATCTGCAATAAAAAGACAGTTTTTTCAGCAGACTTGATTCATTCTTCACAGCACACCCTGAGACAATCTGACATCATTACTGTAGCATTTGATTTTATAGCAGACATCGTTATAAATGCATTGGAACTTTGTATCATCCTGTGAGAGATGACACTCCTCTGAAAGCACCACAGGCACGTGTGTGTTTGTGTTTCCATTGCATTCACAAAAGTCAGTGTTGCAGTTTTTCCTATGCCTAATCTCAAGTGCAGCTATTAATTTTCTCTTTGCACAAATTGCAGTGCACCCTGCCAACTCTGACAAACATGCAATGTAACATTTGTGCTCCTAATGAGGGGATGTTCAATCTGTTTCACTAAAGCACCGTGGCCAAAGATTATGACGGCTATTTGAAGAGGAAAACACATCACACCGAGTGAATAAAAATCAAGTTAAGCTCTAGAACTGCTGAGACGAAGAAGGCTTTTGATGACTACTGTGGAAATAGGCGACTCATTTAGATACTTCTTTTAAATGCTGTATTGATCGGTGCTAAAAAAGGACCGGCACGTTGACGGACGGGTTAACTGATTTCACAGCACAGAGAAAGGAGAGTCAGCTGAATCAATTCTGCAGTTTCTCTGAAAATGATCAATTTGTTCAGATTTGTTTGCCGGAAATCAGAACCACCTGGGACAAAGAACTTACTGCACTTTTGTGAAAATTTAACTTAGACTTCTCTTATTAAAAAAAAAAAAAAAAACATCTTCAGAATCATAGAAGTGTCACAAATCAGCTAAAAGGCAGCTGAAGTTTATTTATCCAGAATATTTTCGTGCTTGAATGTGTTTGGGTTTATGAAACAAACACATCCCAGCAGCTTGATTCCTGTGTAACCATTAAAGATTTGTGAAAACAACATCAGGTGATAGAATAAAATATGAACTCTGTTTTCCAGCCTTCAATTGCAAACTGTATAGCTTCGAGAAGTGCATGATTAAGGGCTCCTTTAGATGTCTTGGAAAATAACCCACAACCAGTGCATGTGATTGTGTTAAAGGTGCTGCAGGACTCGAGAGGGTCTTCTGCTCCTGTTTTCAAGTTTTCTATGAAACATGTGGATCTGTATCTGATATATATGACGCTGCAGGTGTACAAGCGTGTGGCCTCTCATAATCAGGGAGTGATGTATCCACGACGCTATGGATGGAGTAACATAATGATGTCATGGAGTCTGGTGGACCAGAACGTCCACAAAGACCTGGGGAGGCCAGTGTGAAATTAAAAGATAGAATTTACAATCATGGATGTGAACGGAAAAGGGTTAAGAGGAAGCTAATGCAATAATAACAATAATAATAATTGTCAAGCTTTTTAACATTGTGTCCATGTGTTGATCTGCTTTCTTTTTTAATTTTTAACTTTTAAGATGTTATTTTTTGACATTTGGACTTACATTGTGAGTTGTATTCACGTGTTGTATAAATAACTGCTGACATTAGATTTTCTGTAAGAAATGAGCTTGTTAAGGCTTTAAAAAAACCAATAAACAAATTGAACCTGTACTAAATTTGACAGTGATAAATGGATGTTTATTTCATAATGGGTGGAAGACATCTGTGGTCTTATTCCACCTGCGTTGATTTATGGAATAATGACAGACATTCTTCTTTGTGCAACCTTGAGAATGATTCAAAGTGATAAACTGGCAGAAAAAGCAACACCTAAAGACAACCGGATATATCCGGACATTTTAAAGTGAGATAATAAAACCAGTGGTCAGGGAGAAACATCTGACATGTTGTCTTATCTCTGTTGATGCAGCCTGCAGCAGCCAGTGTGTGAGACTGAAGATTAACTCAGTAAAAGCTCGTTTGAACTGAGCCAAATGAATTTGAAGACTCTTATTTTTATAGGCTGATCAAGAACAGTTGTATTTCCTGCAGAATTCTCTCACAGTGTTTTCCTCCGAGATGTTCCTGCTTATTGCTTGTTAAGTGGTATTTGGCAGTAAAGAATGAGCTCTCCTGCTTGTGGTAAGAGAAACCGAAGCAATATGAATTATAAGCACAGCGTTACTGTAGGAGCAGTTCACAAGAAATTAATCATGCAGCTGTCGAGGTCCTGCCTTGTTGGCAGCTTGCAGCATTAATGAGGCTGTGTTTGAGCACAACTTGGGCTTTTTCATTAAAAAAAAAAAAAAGAGTATTTTGTTGATTTTAGGAAGGAGGACATTTTCAGTTCCTCCAAATCCGAGGCCATGGACATGAGCTGGATAACGGTAGAGTGCCTCCTCCAGGTCGGGGAGGAGGTCCTGCCCCAAGTGGAGGAGTTCAAATATCCCAGCATCTTGTTCACGAATGAGGGAAAAATGGAGCAAGAGATCGATTGACGAATAGATGCTGTGTCTGCAGTGAAGCGGGCGCTGGACCAGTCTGTCGTGGTGAAGAGAGAGCTGAGTCAAAGGCAAAGCTCCTGATTTACCGGTTGATCTACGTTCCCCTCATCTGTGGTCATGAGCTTTGGGTCGTGACTGAAAGAACAAGATCTCGGATACAAGCGGCCGAAATGAGTTTTCTCCGCAGGGTGTCTGGGCTCTCCCTTAGAGATAGGGTGAGAAGCTCGATCATTCGGGAGGGACTCAGAGTAGAGCCGCTGCTTCTTCACGTTGAGAGGAGCCAGTTGAGGTGGCTCGGGCATCTGGTTAGGATGCCTCCTGGACGCCTCCCTGATGAGGTGTTCCAGACATGTCCCACCGGGAGGAGACCCAGAGGAAGACCCAGGACACGCTGGAGGGACTATGTTTCTCGGTTGGCCTGGGAACGCCTCGGGATTCCTCCGAAGGAGCTGGCCCAAGTAGCTGGGGAGAGGGAAGTCTTGGCCTCCCTACTTAAGCTGCTACACCCGCGACCCGACCCTGGATAAGAGGAAGAAAATGGATGGATGGATGAATGGTTGGACGGATGGATGGATGGAAATTTTCTAAAGCTGCAGAGCTCAGTGCAAAAATATTGTTTCATTCCTTTGTGATTTTTTTTTTTCATACAGCCAGACTTTAGTGAGGCTTTGTAAAATGACAGTGATCAATATGGTTCTTCAGGCTTTCTAAAGTTGTTTTACAACTTTTGTAGAAACATGCCAAAAAACATAAACATGTAGAAACATACCAAAAAACATAAACATGTAGAAACATACCAAAGACAACCAAGTTTTTTTGGGAAAAAAATGTATTTTCGCATCAATAAGGAGATTTCCAAAAAGGTAAACCTTGACTTGCAGTAGATGATTATCTGAAGGATGATGCAGATTTTAGGTCTTGTGTCAGGTCTTTGCTGATCTTTTTTCTTATTTCCTAAACACGTGACTTTTAAGTACTGTTTGTCTGCCTTAGATAGTCTTTGGAGGCCTGGCACTTATTTTGTTCTCATTTGTTCCCATCGGATATTTTTAAATGTGAACACAAACTGTACCAACATAAACAGATATAAGGAGTAGTTAGAGAAAAAGTGAAAAAGCATCCTAAGTTCAAAAAAACAATAACTGTAAAGATCTTTAGAAACCCAAAAGAATTACTGACCATTTTAAGAGATTAAAGTCTGGCCAAAGGATCCCTCAAAACCGTTGCACAGTTTCGTATCACTTCGATGTATACGTATTCCTCCATTGTTAATAATGTTCATCTGTTTGCAGATACACTTCTGGATGACTTTCTGCTAACCTACCCAGTGTTCATGTCCACCAGAGATTTATGCCAAGCTCTTCTGGGACAATATCCTTCAAAAGTGATGATTCTGAAGAAAGTATGAGAAAAGACATTTTAAAGAAAAAAAAACATGAAGTAGGGTGGCACAGTGGTGAAGTGGTTAGAGATGTTGCCTCTGAGTGAGTAGGCCACAGGTTTACCTCCCAGCCTTTCTGCGTGGAGTTTGCATGTTCTCTCCGTGCATGCATGGGTTTTCTCCAGGTACTCCGGTTTCCTCCCACAGACCAAAAACATGCATGTTAGACTGATTGGTAATTCTAAATTGTCTCTAGATGAGAGTGAGAGTGAATGGTTGTTTGTCTCTATGTGTCCCTGTGATGGACTGGAGACCTGTCCAGGGTGTCCCCGCCTTTCCAACAGTGACTGCTGGATATAGGCACTAGCTCGCCCTCAACTTGGAAAGGAAATCGCAAGTTCAAGCAATGAATGGATGGAACATGAGAATTATTTTTTACTTTCCTTTAATCGATTCAACTGTATTCTTTGACTAACTCCACTTATTGCACCAAGAGACATAGAGGGAAGGAGGATCTGAAGGAGGCTCTGGAAAGGAAACAAAAAGTCCTGCATCTGGTGTCGCAGTGGATGTCTCTCTGTAAAGACTTCCTGAGAGAAGATGAGCACGTCACGTTCTTCTTGAAGGTGAGAAACGCAGCCTACGTGGAGAAAGGATGGTTGCAAGGTGAAATGGATACAAGTGAAAAAAACAAGTAAAATGGATAAAAACAGACATTTGTACCTTCAGGCTTTGTATCGTCACACTTACGATGATCTCTACGAGCACCCTGCGCTCGAAAAGGAGACACGGGAGCTGCAGAAACTCTACCAGCTGCATTGCAGAGAGTAAGTAACAATGATTTGAACTAACTAAAACCAAACTATATTAGTATAACTAAAGACGGACAGACACAGAGATACAAAATGCACGTTTCTTTTGAAAATATGACAGGGTGAGTGAAATACCCAGTAAGAATGACAACCAATAGAGTTCTGAAAAATAACATAAGTAAAAAGAAAGACTTGTTCTCTGCAGACATCTTTTCGAACTCCTCTTCTTCTTCCTCTTGACAAATCGTGACCAAACAAACACATCATCACCCTAATCATTACACCTCCCACCTCCCTGAGCCTCTCCCCGTGAGGATGCTCCAGCCTTCCACCCATATCAGTGCAGATAACTCTGTCTCACTCAGCCACTCTGACTCTGCCTTTTTCATGTTTACATCCAGGAGGGGAAATCCTCAACACCCTCCGCATTAGAGCAGTGGACTGTGAGGGTGGGGGTGTTACTGAGCGACATGCTTTTGAATTTATGAGCTGTTCATATCAGTCCTGTCTGAGAGGAGGAGGACAGGGTTGACTGCTCTGTGGCTCTGTGGCATCTGTTTCTGAGTGAAAAGGTGTCATTTTTTAATAGAGAGTGGCCTCCCGGCAGCTTGCATCTGGCGTTGGTGCAAATTGAAGCTCAAGTCTTCGATTATGAGACTGTGAGAACAAATCTCTGTTTGTTTCAGCATGACACTGAACTTGACTGTAGACAGCCAAAGTAATTAGACGGTATTTGAAAGGAAAATGGAGAATTATAGCTAACACAGCCTACATGTGATACAGCAAAAGGAGTCAGGTTTTTCATTAGTGTGGGGTGACTGCTGGCTGTTGAGAAGGGCTCCCTCAGGGCGTCACTTTGTGCCAACACGCCCGTTGTGATGCAGAGTCCAGTAAAAGCTGAGGGATGATAACAGATACTGCTATCAGGATTAACCACTGAAAACAGGGTGATTAAATGAGGGGATCAAATTGGAACGTCTAATGTCTATTGAGCACTCAAATCTCCCCTTGACACTGAGCTTCGATAATGGACTGAGCACAGCGGAGGAGGTTGTAGTGGATAACATAAATATTCTCCATTTACTCAGATTATAGACTATATGAAGGGTTATCAACAGATCAGTGACTTGTTCTATGCATGTGAAAGCTCATGCTGTTGCGGTTCATAGTTTTCCTCTCTCTTTTTTCAGTCCAGTGGATGATCATTCTCCTCACAGAAATGTAAGTGACAATGTTGGTATCACTCTTTACATTACAATAAATCCTAATTAGTGATTTAAACACAGATTTTACTTTTTATACATATTTCTATACTGCACTAAAAGACCAATATGTACCCATTTTCTCTGGATGACATTCTAAATAATGCATATTAAGAAAATAAAATTGGTTGTTTATCAACTATGATCTTAATATGCTTTGCTTACAGGCCTGACAAGGTGGTGATGGAAGTACAATAGTATATTTCACCCTTAAGAACACTTGGGAAAATTGTTAATTACTATGTAACTAAACATTTAACTACAAGGGTTAATAGATACCAAACACCTATGAAATAGTTATTGCTTACTTAAAACCTTTTCTCCTCAAGCTTAGCCCTACAGACAGAGCTTGCTACCTTTAAAATAAGAGGAATGAAGCACATATAAAGATTGCCGCACACTCTCATGAACCACTTATTAAAACACTTGCTGGCTACCTTGTAAATAATAAGGAAAATGTGACTGCATGTTTAGACTTTCTGCATAATTCAGCAATTAAGTATAGAACCCATGCATTTAAATCAACTTGTTGCGTTCAGTCACAGCAGCTTTGTGCTAAAAATGGCTTTTACAGTTGTAAAGAGGCAACCTTGGGAACTACAAAGGTTAGGAAATGTCAAACGACTGATAGTTATCAGCCAAACCTCAAGTTAGATCAGTAAGATTTGGCTGCTAAAAGCACTTCTAGTTAAACGTTTTGTTAGTAGGTTTTTTTTAAGAACAGACTATACAGGTATTGGTATTGATTTATAAAGACAGTCACAAACCTTTGCAGTCAGGTAGAGAAGGGAATCCTTCTGACAGGTTGATCTGATGACATCACCAGCAGCGAGTGAAACGCAGCAGAGCAGGAGACCTGTGCAGCATGAAACTTTAGGGCAGATCCAGAAGCGAGGTCTGGTAGAACAGGCAGGGGTCATACACAGGAGGTCAGAAATCCATATCTTAATCCCAAACGAGATCCAAGAGGCGTAGTCAGAGAGAGTAATCCCAACAAGATGGATGGGCGTGAGGTCAGAACCAGGCAGACAAACAAGGCTGCGGCATGAACACTGGACATCTACTTTAAAGATTTTGAGTTTGTTAGTCTGGCGCTGGTAGAGAGTGAACGTGGATCTTAAAAAGGCAGGAGAACAGGTGCAACAGATGAGCGCTGATTGAGGTGACAAGGCAGAATGGTTGTGGTGCATGGTGACAGGGGCAGGCTTGAGCTGAGGCATGAACATGAGGAAAAACAGAGGGGGACAGAAGCTATGGCAGGAGGGGGAAATGTGACATTTAATTTGTTGCTATTTTAAGTATTATAGACTAAACAAGCTTATTAAAGTTATCCATTCGTCCGTCACTATGCACAGCCTGCATATTAGTAATGATAATTAATTATTATTAGTTGCTGTGAGCGTCATCCACAAAAACATTATTTAATTACTAATTAAAAGTTAATATGCTATTAATACGGAAGTTAATAAGTTAACCTAGTTGATTTTTTTTTTTATTTTGTACCATGATGTTAAATGTTGTCATTTTATTTGATTTATTAAACAGTTGTCTGACCTCTGCCCTATATCTGGGGTTGAGATCACAGTTCTCATGTTTCCTCTGAAAGTCATTGTTCTGTCGTTCAAATTGAAACTCTGAAGGCCGTCAGACTGAATGAGCGTGTGTCAAACTCCACGTATTTTCCTTCTTTCAGAGGAAAGCTCTTTCCCACCATTCGAGCTTTAACGAGAATGGGCCCAGAAGCACTCGAACGGAAACCAAGGAAGGTAAGCCATAAAACACAGCTCCTCACACATTCCTCTAGTCATGCGTTATTTCCAAAGGAAATGAAAGGGGTCTTTGGTTCGAACTAAAAAAAAACAACAACTATGATGTGGTGTGATGGTGGTGGGGGGTGTCTTTCCAGGGATTGAATGAGATGTTTGGAAGGGCAGGTTCCTGATCTAGTGCATTGCCATTTTGTTTTTGGTACCACATTACAATAAGGCTCCTCTTATAGATGGCTAATAAATAGTTTATAGATCCATTATTAATTCCTCTATAAACACTTTATAAATCATTAATAACTGCTTATTATGCATCAATTAAGGGTGAGAAACTACCTTGTAAGCATAAGTATTTGTAAACCTATTTTTTTAGGATATAATATTAGTTGTGGATACTTATAAGACAGTGATAAAGTATAATATTATATGCTAAAAAAAAGGTTTACAAATGCTTATTGTGCTTACAAGGTCATAACTAGGAGGTTAAGGAGCATTAAGTGTAGAACCACTAGACTGAGGAACAGCTTCTACCCTGAGGCTGTTAGACTCATGAATCTCTAACTAGAATAATCACTGTGAAAAACCATATCATGTTGCTGCTGATCTGTTTCATGTTGCTGCTGATCTGTTTCATGTTGCTGCTGATCTGTTTAAATGTTGATGTGTTCATGCGTGCACATCTGCTCACAGACTCATGTTCATGTTTGTGCTCATGTTCAATGTTTTATGTTATGAGTGCTTAGTGTATATTTAGTTGATGTTTTTCTTAGTTCATATCTTAGATGTTATTACTGTTTTTCTTATACATTTTATTGTTGGATGTAACTGGGACCCCGTGTACATAATTTCGCTCCACCACATGTACCACATGAGGTGCGAATGACAATAAAGAAACTCTGACTCTGACTCTGACTCTGACTCTTAGTCTGAAATGTTTAATATAACAACTCTAGATGAAATATATAGGTGAACATATATGGCTCACTGTTTGGCAAGAAACTGGTCAGTTTTGTCTCTGTCACCCTTAATTAATGCATAATAAGCAGTTATTAATGATTTTAAAAGTTTTTATAGTGGAATTAATAATGTATCTATAAACTATTTATTAGCTATAAGGGGAGCCTTATTGTAAAGTGGTACCTTGTTTTTTATTTTTTTATGTTTTGTTAGAATCAGTTTGTGCTTCTGTAAAATGATTAGTCCTTCTAAGCACAGATGGAATCATAAACGTCTAAGATTCAAGGAACTACAACAGTCATGTACCCAGTTAATATGAACAATATACAGCTCATTGTAAATGGTGAAAACTCATTTCTCTTGTTTCAAAAGTGGTAAACCTGACACTACACACCAATAAACAAATATAAAAAACGGACCCAAAATAAATAAGCAAAAGCATCTATAAGAGATTTTAGGACACATTTGACCAGTCTTGGCTGTTATCAGGAGAAAAACCAGTGCTAGTGCTATTGTTGCATTCATATCCTGATTCCTCATCAGCAGCATTATATCTTTAGGACTTTCAGGGATGATGGGTTTTTGGTACCACTGCTGGTCCATTTTATTGTACAACCTAATAAAACATTCTATTTTTTATTTATTTTCAGTTGTGTGTCGTGTGTACATCAGCATGGACTCATACCTGAGTGTGAAGGTGGACAGTGAGGCTGTAGCTCAGGAGCTGTTGCAGGCTGTGGCTGACAGGATGGATGTTCCTCAGGCAGAACTCATACTTGTGGCCGTCACTTATCCTGGAGGTAAATGTGGTTCGAAGTGATCGTCTGCAGCACATAAAAACCACCAGACTGCAGCTCTTTCTACGATTGTTGGACAATATGGAGAAAAGGCACAGCAGCCCTGTTTAGAGATTTGGTCCTGACAGTAATAAAGAAACACCATAAAATGTACAGATACTTCTCTTAATTTATGAACTCATGAGCATTTACTTTGCAAAATCTATCTTAGTGTTTTTTTATTGTTCTATTTTCGTTACCAGAATCACTAGATGGTGTCTTTCTGAACTGTTTCTTGTGCAAATTTCATTCATGGCAAAAATCAACATTTTCACAGTTTTTCTATACCGTCTGATCATTTTGCCAGCACACATTTTCACCAGACCTAAATGTTTCATGAGTTGGGAGGCATTGCAGCTCAAGATCTGCTATCAGTGACTGGTTTCCTCTGAGCAGAGCAGAGCCTTATCTCTACCACGGAGAGATGCTCACGGGCCACCTGACAGATTTTTAATGGAGTTCTGCTATTTGTGACTCGTTTATTTGTCTGCAGGTCGACTCCTCCTGCAGCCTGAGGACAGAGTTTTTTCCCATTCTTTACGGTCGGTTGGGAGGCTTCATGTCTGCAGAAAGGACCTCGGTGAAGTCTTGGTAGGAGCGTTGTTAAATCTAACAAGGTTAAGTCAGGTCCTCTGGACAGATTACCAAGCAGATCCAACAAAGTTCAGTCAGGTCATCTGGACCATTTCTTTTTTGTTGTTGTTGAGACCTTTCGTCCTGCATCCAAAGGACTTCATCAGTTCGAGGAGCCACAGCAATTTCAGTCCCACAGCATGCTCACATAGTGGACCAACCAGTTTGATGGTGATAAGATGGTTTCTGGGGACCACCCTCTCCCCCATTGACTTCTTTGAGGCAGCCATAGCCAAAGTGGTTCAAAACATCAAAGTTCATGCTCAATAATCCAGGTAAAACATTCAACAAAATTAAATCAGGTCATCTGGACCATTTCTTTTTTTGGGGGGGTGGGTGGGACTGAGTTTGTTGTGGCTCCTCTGACTTATGAAGTCTTTTGGTCAAAAGATGAAACATTTCAGCAAAAAAAGAAACCGTCCAGATGACCTGATTTAACTTTGTTCGATGTTTTACCTGGATTATTGAGCATGCACTTTGATTACCATGCATAATTTTCTGGATCAATATCTGGGGTTCAATTAGACATGGGACCACTTATTTTCCATCCATCCATCCATCCATCCATCCATCCATCCATCCATCCATCCATCCATCCATCCATCCATCCATCCATCCATCCATCCATCCATCCATCCATCCATCCATCCATCCACG